CCTCTCCCGGCCGCTCACCTTCCTGCTAATCCACGGCGCCTCACCTTCCTCTCTGCTCCGCCGCCTCCGACCTTCCTCTCCTCTCCACGGCTCCTCCCACTATCCTCTCTCTCCACGCTCTATCCACCTTCCACTCCTTCCACGGCCGCCTCCACCTTCCTTAGCCTCTCCACGGCCGCGTCCCACCTTCCTCTCCACGCCGCCTCCACCTCCTCTCCGCTCATCCCACCTTCTCTCACTTCCACGGCTTCCTCCCACCTTCCTCTCCTCTCCACGGCCGCCCAACCTTCCTCTCCTCTCCAGGCTCCTCCACCTTCCTCTTCTGCTCCATGGCTTCTCCCACCTTCCTCACCTCTCACGGCTATCCCAAACCATTACCTCACCTCTCCAAGGCTTCTCACACCATTCCTCTCATACCACGCCTCCTCCCACCTTCAATTCTGTCCACGAAGCCTCTTCCATCTTCCTTCCCACTACCTTTCCAGCAGGATTCTGCAGCACTCGGGTGCCACACGGCTGACTGTCAGATCAATAGCTGTGCGTGTACGTTCCTCGTCCCCCCCCCACCATAACCAACAGCCGCTTTTCACTTATACACGTAAAATTTACACTTACACTATCCTAGCGCAACCCCCCACCTTCGCTCCCCCCTACTCTTCATGCAGTTTTATACGTTCCTCATTAACATCATCCTCAGTCAAGCTTTTCGTAGTCATACTTGCGCAACCTTCACTTACAAGACGACACACAGACTTGGTTCGACGCTGCGAGGATCCCTGTGGGCGGGATTTGTGCTGGATCGAAACTGTTTACAAAGTCTATTTAATTGTTGTATTTTAATATGATAAAAGGAAAGACAATTACTCTTGTTTCACACATGTCTTACGTAAAGCACTACGCTCGTGTAGTATTTAACGATTGGATGAAGTGGGTTTGGGCCTGTATGTGTGGGTGTGTGATGTGTGAATATATATATATTAATATATATATATATATTTAATAACCGGCAGTTATATATAAAGTATTTATATATTCAACCAATATTTCAGAATTAAAAGCATACATTGACGACCTAATTTTCTGCGTATACTTGAACTTAGCTTTAAAAAGAATAATTTAATTGTCGAAATAACTATTTGTTACTGACTTTTTCATTAAGGACTGGTGAATCCTTTAAAGAGAGCATGTAGATATTCTTACTGCTCATTTTAGCAGGTTTTACGTTGCTTGCATGTTTGAAGAGGTAATAAGATATTTTTTACCTATAGTAAGGTTACTGGCTAAAGAATTGCCTTAGTAATTTTTTCCAGATTTTGGAGTAGAATGTTAGTTTTTTTTTTTTTTTTGCTTAGCAACAACTTTCTGCCAGCTAGTGAGGGAAGGTGGTTGTCAGTTGGCGTGATTGCTGGCTCACGCCTCGGTCAGCCCGGTCAATAACTAAGCACGCTTGTTCTACATTAATAAAACGTTAAAAAACAGAGCGTACAACGTAATATAGACGAATAATGTACATAGTCTAGCTAGTTATGAATAAGGTTACTTAGTTAAGAATCATGGCTGGATAGACAGGCAAGCAATTTCCTAACTAGAATTGACATCTGGTATCCTTCCACTCGGAGTGGAAAGTTTGCCACCAGGGAGTTTTGGTGGTGGGGTGGGGGTAGGATGATGGGCGGGGATTGTGGTGCTTGGTGAGCACAACCATGGACAAAAAACACTACCTACACATCAACTAGGCGTATATATCTAAAGATAAAACAGAAAATCTAAATGTTTTAAGATTTCAGGCGACATTGTTCTCTCAGCCATAACAGAATGGCTAACAATTGCTTGTTTTTATCGATGGAGTGTAGTGGGTGTGGAGGCTGGAGTGGTGGGGTGTGGAACGGGGAGAAAGATCAATGTTGCGACAGTTTCAACCGGCAGGTTTTGTTACAGTTTGCTTTTGTCACCAAGTATTGTCTTTGGATTATAAGCAGTAGATTTAACCTCAATTTTCTGCTTGCTTTAGCTTTAATAGAAAATAGTTTTGCCTCAAAATAACTATTTTGTTTGACTTGATCATTATGAGGGCTCACTGCAGTGCTTGAATTTTAAGATGCACGCTCGCTACCGTTCCCTGGTTCTATCCAGGGCTGCCTGGATAGAACCGATAAACTCTTAATACAAGAAATTGAAGTTAGTAGTAGTAGTATCCTCTCATTCCTTGGATCAGCCCTGATTATCTTTTATTTCCCAAACGCTGTATAGCCCTATGGGTTCAGCACTGGCCTATAATATAATTCACTATGCTCTTCCTCTTGCCTATAAATATAATTCACTATTCGCTTCCTCTTCAGTTTTAATATTCACGGCTTATAAATTTCTCCATAAAGTCATTACCAAAGAAAAGAGAGTGTAATGTTTACAGCTAACTCAGCTCTGTTGTCAAGTTTGGGCTGGTGTAATTTGAAGTTGTCATTTCATTTATTTAATGTAGAAGCCCTTAATAATTTACCATTGTTGAATTATGGAGTGAATGTAGTAGGGTAAAGCAGTTTAGTAACACCTGACTTACTGGCAGTTGGCAAGTATTAATGTTTTCTGGCAGTGTTTTATACTCTGACGACTGCAGGTACAACATTGAGAATGTTTGCCAAAAAGTACTATTACTACTATGTGCCAGTTGTAACTGTTCCCGCAGTATATACAATACACGAAAAGCTGTCAACTACAGTTGATTATTTGTGTTGGTTAGGCTTAAAACCTATTAGTCAAGACTATTCACCTGTATATTAATATAAAGAATACTTTAATCCCTAAAATTAGGAATAAAATTAACTGTGCATATACATAAATAAGTCCAATACTGTGTACGTATCCTGACAGTAGGTGGAACTTGCTGACAGTGTACTTTGGGACAGCTATAATTCAGGCGGCGCCGCTCTTGCCGGCCGGCACGTTGGGTCTGAACAGTTTTTCTCCAGTCTTCATGAATAACAAACTTGTGTTAATGATCTTTGCTTTTTTTTTGTGGAAAAGGGTAGTGATATGTTATAATTGTAGTTTTAAATATATTTGGTATTTTTAATAAATAACCAGGCGAGTACAACTTATCGTCTAGCATACAATTAAGAGACTAGGGATCCAGCCTCCAACACTGCCGAATAAGTCACACAAGTTTATTGCCCCACAGTGTAGATCTAATTGTACAGTAGTTATAATTATCTTTGTAATAAGTTGTTAAAATCTGACAGGGCGGGGAGGGGGGGGTGGGTAGTGAAAGAAATAGTATACCTGCCCGGAAGGGGGGGGGGGACCCCGTAGTGGAGATAGGGATGTGTAGAAGCCAGACAGGTATTGGAGTCGGGCCAATGTTAAAGCTACGTCAGTTACCAACAAATCACCCCTCGCTATTTTCTTCAATTATCCCTTCTTGCAAAACTTTGTTAATGTGTCAGTCATTGCTTAATTAATTTCAATGGGTTATTCTAGGTTAAATTCTACATGGTTTACTATATTAAAACTAGTGGAAAATCTTTAAATTGCCGGAAATGCAAATGAAAACTTATGATTTGTATGTTATTATTGAAGACCCGAACCTTAATGAAGGGCTCTTGATCCGAGGAATTTAGGTATCCCAGACCAGGGCAGCAACTGAGATTGGGTTATAGGGGTAGTGACTACAGGCAACCTGATTGCTGTCCATTCCTCAAGCACTACATGTGAATGCTTCAACACATTCAGTGCTTCTCCATGAATATAATATGAAAGTATCCAGCAAGCCCATAAATTAGGTTTAACAAAAGTCAACATCTTTGCCTCGACCTTCAGTAACAGCATTTTGTAAATGCCATTGTTAATGTACTCGAGCCAAAAAGAAACTTAACTGGTGCATAAAGGGTCAGAGGTGGAAGTACCTGGACATTAATATAACCCCCATAAATAAAAAAACGGCACAATACCGTGACTGGAACGAGACACAAATAACCCGCACATAAAAGAGAGAAGCTTACGGCGACGTTTCGGTCCGACTTGGACCATTTGCTTTGTAAATGGTCCAAGTCGGGCCGAAACGTCGTCGTAAGCTTCTCTCTTTATGTGCGGGTTATTTGTATAACCCCCATAGACCTGATATGACATCTGATATTTTGGTGTTGTAAATCTCATCTCTAAATAAAATTAAGTGGGTCTGGATATAGGGAATTGTTAGTGCTTTCCTAAATTTAAAGTTCTGGTATACAACCAGATGTGGTTTCAACAGTTGCTTAACCCTCATCATGCCAGCTGTCAATAATGACAGTACTTTATCTTGGCCCAGCTGGTGGTCTGGCCATGACTAGTGTCACATTAAGGTGTTAGAAACAAGTGTTACAACAGCTTTATATTTTATTCCTTGTAAATACAGTATGTATATTTTAGATTTAACATCCAGAAATAAAATTGATGTTGCAATGTCTTATCACAATGGGATTAAATTGTTACTTTGTATTATAAGCAGAAAACATGCTATTGCTGCCATATCTAATATTATCATTAACATGTACAATATTCTTTAGTTTGTAGTATTTTCATTTTTATATTCTATTTATAAAGAAATAAGTGAAACATTAACATTCATTAAAAATGGAACACTTTCTTCTTGTTCTTTACTTTTAGATGTTTCAGCTCGGTTTGCAGCAATTTTGACTGAGGGTTACCTTGAATTTACCTGGAGGGGGTTTCGGGGGTCAATGCCCCCGCAGCCCAGTCTGAGACCAGGCCTCATGGTGGATCAGGGTCTGATCACCCAGGCTGTTACTGCTGGTATGAATAAATCAAGATCATCTCTGGAAACTCGTGTAGAAACTAAATTTTCACTAGTGATCCGGAGCATCCAGTCTAAAGCAAGTGCAGTACAACTTTTACCTTTAGACTTTCATACAAAGATCACTGCGAAATTCCCTTCCTATAACATTTCCAGGGATTATCTGTTCTGTTGGATAAACTTTGTATAATTTATACTTTTTTTTTCTTTTCAGTTAAGATTGGTGTATTCTACCTCATCTTCTATGCATGTCTAGCTGGGTTCTTTGCCATAATGTTGGCCGTATTCTATCAAACACTAGACACAAATCATCTCCCAAAGTACACCCCTGGTGGCGGCGGCTCTCTCCTTCGTAACCCAGGTGAGAAGTATTAAAAACAAAAAATTAATGACTTTCTAGGGTGGATTAGTTTAATTATTTTATTAGCATGGGACACAATTCTTTCAATTTTTTTCTTTGACATTTGTGTGATAGTAATTTTCATTAATTTTACGTAATACATACAGTGGGACCTCTACTTGTGAGCACATCCATGGGCGAGTTTCTCTAAACACGAGCAGTCAGTGGGTTGATTTTTTGCTTAAATACGCAAGCAAAATTTCCATAAGCGAGAGGGCCTCAAGGTGAGGGGCTCTTGATCTAGGGAATTGGATCTCATTTGCTTGTTGGACTATTTTATTGAAACTTAGGCAATGAATGATAGATGCTTCTTAACATACACCAAAAATGAAAGAAATCGGACAATAAATAAGGGAGTTCACTTCTCAGCCATTAGCTGCCTCTTTGTGGTATATTTTTGTATGGTTTTTATGGTTGTATTCTTGTTTTTTTGGTCTCGTTTGATAGAATGGAAGATATATTACAGAAATAGGTACGATTTTTGATTGGTTTCAAGACGAAAAGTACCTTGAAGTTGAGCTCGGAGTAGCAGAAAAGTTTGATTCTTTAGCAGTGTTCAAGAGTAAAAAATGACATCACTGTCCATTCCAGTATGTAGTTGTGAATGGGTTGACATGATTTATACAATTACAGTGGAACCTCAAATATCGAACTTTCTTCAGTCCAGAAGGCTGTTAAAGTGCCTTTACCGAATGAATTTATTCCCATCAGGAATAATGTAAATTAGATTAGTCCTTTTCAGACCCTCAAAAATACACTTATAAAAGCACTTACAAAAATACACTTACATAATACTTGACGTGCTGTTGGAGTGTGAGCAAAGTAACATTTATGAAGGGGTTCAGGGAAACCGGCAGGCCGGACTGGAGTCCTGGAGATGGGAAGTACAGTGCTTGCACTCTGAAGGAGGGGTGTTAATGTTGCAGTTTAAAAACTGTAGTGTAAAGCACCCTTCTGGCAAGACAGTGATGGAGTGAATGATGGTGAAAGTTTTTCTTTTTCGGGCCACCCTGCCTTGGTGGGAATCAGCCAGTGTGATAAAAAAAAAAAAAAAAAATAATTGGTCGTGTTGGGAGCGGTTCGATTTTTGAGGTTCCACTGTATTACAATAATGCAGTAGTCTGCATAACAGTAAATCTTCTATTTTTTGTGAATAAAAATTACAAATTATATTTTAATATGTATAATAATAGTATAATATGTATAATAAGGTGTTTAATAATAATGTACTATATAATAATAATTATAATAGATGTCCTCAAAAGGCCATCACTAGATGGCAGGAGTGGTTGTGGCTGCCTCCACCTGTTACATGACATATTTTATTCAATCTAGAGTATATATGTGTATATATCAGGTTTCCATGTTATTTATATTGTTTATTATGTCATATTAGATGAATTGATAGATACAGTGGACCCCCGGTTAACGATATTTTTTCTCTCCAGAAGTATGTTCAGGTGCCAGTACTGACCGAATTTGTTCCCATAAGAAATATTGTGCAGTAGATTAGTCCATTTCAGACACCCAAACATACACGTACAAACGCACTTACATAATTGGTCGCATTCGGAGGTAATCGTTATGCGGGGGTCCACTGTAAATAAGCCGTATAGATATTAGCGAAATATTAAAGCATCTTGTTGAGCCTCCTGAGAGCCAGGAATGGATTAATTGCATTTCAATTAATTTAAATGAGGAAAATTGACTGCAATGAGCAAATCCAGATGAGAGCAAGGTCACGGAACAGATTAAACTCACGAGTGGAGGTTCCACTGTACATGTCTTAAAATACTGTACATGTCTACTGATTATACATATTATTGAATTATTTATAGACAATACACTATAAGCAGTGTATAATGTCTGTTCCTTTCCTTTGCAAAATTTAAATATGGGTCTATGAAAAATGTAGCAAGGAAGGGGGGGGAACAAAAAAAAAAGGGGGGGGGGTGGAATGTTCTAGTGTAGTGGTACCAACATTGTACAAGTGTAATGCATGGACTTAACTGCTGCAGCAAGTTGGTTAAATTTTTTTTAGACAGTGATGTCATGTGTGGTGACAGTATTGTGGTGAATTCAGAGAAGAAATTAAAAGGCAGTGTTGGATCACCTAGGGCATAATTCAAAGGACAGAGTGGTTAAGGTGGTTCAGGCATGTGGAGAACAGATATATTTTATTATTTTATTTTATTATCACACTGGCCGATTCCCACCAAGGCAGGGTGGCCCGAAAAAGAAAAACTTTCACCATCATTCACTCCATCACTGTCTTGCCAGAAGGGTGCTTTACACTACAGTTTTTAAACTGCAACATTAACACCCCTCCTTCAGAGTGCAGACACTGTACTTCCCATCTCCAGGACTCAAGTCCGCCTGCCGGTTTCCCTGAACCCCTTCATAAATGTTACTTTGCTCACACTCCAACAGCACGTCAAGTATTAAAAACCATTTGTCTCCATTCACTCCTATCAAACACGCTCACGCATGCCTGCTGGAAGTCCAAGCCCTCGCACACAAAACCTCCTTTACCCCCTCCCTCCAACCTTTCCTAGGCTGACCCCTACCCCGCCTTCCTTCCACTACAGACTGATACACTCTTGAAGTTATTCTGTTTCGCTCCATTCTCTCCACATGTCCGAACCACCTCAACAACCCTTCCTCAGCCCTCTGGACAACAGTTTTGGTAATCCCGCACCTCCTCCTAACTTCCAAACTACGAATTCTCTGCATTATATTCACACCACACATTGCTCTCAGACATGACATCTCCACTGCCTCCAGCCTTCTCCTCGCTGCAACATTCATCACCCATGCTTCACACCCATATAAGAGCGTTGGTAAAACTATACTCTCATACATTCCCCTCTTTGCCTCCAAGGACAAAGTTCTTTGTCTCCACAGACTCCTAAGTGCCCCACTCACCCTTTTCCCCTCATCAATTCTATGATTCACCTCGTCTTTCATGGACCCATCCGCTGACACGTCCACTCCCAAATATCTAAATACATTCACCTCCTCCATACTCTCTCCCTCCAATCTAATATCCAATCTTTCATCACCTAATCTTTTTGTTATCCTCATAACCTTACTCTTTCCTGTATTCACTTTCAATTTTCTTCTTTTGCACACCCTACCAAATTCATCCACCAATCTCTGCAACTTCTCTTCAGAATCTCCCAAGAGCACAGTGTCATCAGCAAAGAGCAACTGTGACAACTCCCACTTTATGTGTGATTCTTTATCTTTTAACTCCACGCCTCTTGCCAAGACCCTCGCATTTACTTCTCTTACAACCCCATCTATAAATATATTAAACAACCACGGTGACATCACACATCCTTGTCTAAGGCCTACTTTTACTGGGAAATAATTTCCCTCTTTCCTACATACTCTAACTTGAGCCTCACTATCCTCGTAAAAACTCTTCACTGCTTTCAGTAACCTACCTCCTACACCATACATCTGCCACATTGCCCCCATATCCATCCTGTCATATGCCTTTTCCAAATCCATAAATGCCACAAAGACCTCTTTAGCCTTATCTAAATGCTGTTCACTTATATGTTTCACTGTAAACACCTGGTCCACACACCCCCTACCTTTCCTAAAGCCTCCTTGTTCATCTGCTATCCTATTCTCCGTCTTACTCTTAATTCTTTCAATAATAACTCTACCATACACTTTGCCAGGTATACTCAACAGACTTATCCCCCTATAATTTTTGCACTCTCTTTTATCCCCTTTGCCTTTATACAAAGGAACTATGCATGCTCTCTGCCAATCCCTAGGTACCTTACCCTCTTCCATACATTTATTAAATAATTGCACCAACCACTCCAAAACTATATCCCCACCTGCTTTTAACATTTCTATCTTTATCCCATCAATCCCGGCTGCCTTACCCCCTTTCATTTTACCTACTGCCTCACGAACTTTCCCCACACTCACAACTGGCTCTTCCTCACTCCTACAAGATGTTGTTCCTCCTTGCCCTATACACGAAATCACAGCTTCCCTATCTTCATCAACATTTAACAATTCCTCAAAATATTCCCTCCATCTTCCCAATACCTCTAACTCTCCATTTAATAACTCTCCTCTCCTATTTTTAACTGACAAATCCATTTGTTCTCTAGCTTTCTTAACTTGTTAATCTCACTCCAAAACTTTTTCTTATTTTCAACAAAATTTGTTGATAACATCTCACCCACTCTCTCATTTGCTCTCTTTTTACATTGCTTCACCACTCTCTTAACCTCTCTCTTTTTCTCCATATACTCTTCCCTCCTTGCATCACTTCTACTTTGTAAAAACTTCTCATATGCTAACTTTTTCTCCCTTACTACTCTCTTCACATCATCATTCCACCAATCGCTCCTCTTCCCTCCCGCACCCACTTTCCTGTAACCACAAACTTCTGCTGAACACTAACACTACATTTTTAAACTACCCCATACATCTTCGACCCATTGCCTATGCTCTCATTAGCCCATCTATCCTCCAATAGCTGTTTATATCTTACCCTAACTGCCTCCTCTTTTAGTTCATAAACCTTCACCTCTCTCTTCCCTGATGCTCTATTCTCCTTGTATCCCATCTACCTTTTACTCTCAGTGTAGCTACAACTAGAAAGTGATCTGATATATCTGTGGCCCCTCTATAAACATGTACATCCTGAAGTCTACTCAACAGTCTTTTATCTACCAATAAAATAATCACAAATACTGTCTTTTCGCCCTACATCATATCTTGTATACTTATTTATCCTCTTTTTCTTAAAATATTATTACCTATAACTAAACCCCTTTCTATACAAAGTTCAATAAAAGGGGCTCCCATTATCATTTACACCTGGCACCCCAACTTGCCTACCACACCCTCTCTAAAAGTTTCTCCTACTTTAGCATTCAGGCCCCCCCCTACCACAATTACTCTCTCACTTGGTTCAAAGGCCCTATACATTCACTTAACATCTCCCAAAATCTCTCTCTCTCCTCTGCATTCCTCTCTTCTCCAGGTGCATACAGGCCTTATTATGACCCACTTCTTGCATCCAACCTTTTACTTTAATCCACATAATTCTTGCATTTACACATTCATATTCTCTTTTCTCCTTCCATAACTGATCATTCAACATTACTGCTACCCCTTCCTTTGCTCTAACTCTCTCAGATACTCCAGATTTAATCCCATTTATTTCCCCCCACACGAAACTCCCCTACCCCCTTCAGCTTTGTTTCGCTTAGGGCCAGGACATCCAACTTCTTTTCATTCATAACATCAGCAATCATCTGTTTCTTGTCATCCGCACTACAATCCACGCACATTTAAGCATCCCAGTTTTATAAAGTTTTTCTTCTTTTTTTTAGTAAATGTCTACAGAGAAGGGGTTACTAGCCCATTGCTCCCGGCATTTTAGTCGCCTCATACGACACGCATGGCTTACGGAGGAAAGATTCTTTTCCACTTCCCCATGGGCAATAGAAGAAAAAAAAAGAGGAACAAGAGCTATTTAGAAAAAGGAGAAAAACCTAGATGTATGTATATATATATATGCATGTGTGTGTCTGTGAAGTGTGACCAAAGTGTAAGTAGGAGTAGCAAGATATCCCTGTTATCTAGCGTGTTTGAGACAGAAAAAGAAACCAGCAATCCTACCATCATGCAAAACAGTTACAGGTTTCTGTTACACAGTCATCTGGCAGGACGGTAGTACTTCCCTGGGTGGTTGCTGTCGGACTTGAGTCCTGGAAATGGGAAGTACAATGCCTGCACTTTAAAGGAGGGGTTTGGGATATTGGCAGTTTGGAGGGATATGTTGTGTATCTTTATATGTGTATGCTTCTAAACTGTTGTATTCTGAGTACCTCTGCAAAAACAGTGATAATGTGTGAGTGTGGTGAAAGTGTTGAATGATGAAAGTATTTTCTTTTTGGGGATTTTCTTTCTTTTTTGGGTCACCCTGCCTCGGTGGGAGACGGCAGACTTGTTGAAAAAAAAAAAATCTGAAATACCCCATGGGTTTAGTTATTAGATCAAGGGATAACCAGTCTAGTGATAGCCATTCCAGGTTGTAGAAATATGTAAATGTTCATTTGTTATTGTTTAAACTTAAGTTTCTCATATAGTGACTAATTTTTTCTTCAGCCATGGGCTTCAGACCTCTTCCACGCAGTGAAAATGTAGAATCAACATTGATTTGGTATAAGAATGGCGACAATGATGACATTAAACATTGGGTCGACACCCTTAATGAGTTTATCAAACGTAAGTACTTAAAATTCATGTGTTAATAACTGGTGTAATTAATAAACTACAGCACTTTGAAATACTGTAATTTGTTGGTGTACCTACCACATAACTTAGTGAATACGTTTCTTCATAGTAGAGCATTACAGTAACTTTTTTTGTGCATCCACCATAAAGCTTATGAAGGCACCAGTGACGCCATCTCTGGCCAGCATATAACGGACTGCTCTGAAGATAATTTTCCAAAGGAACGCGAGGTGTGCCGCTTCCAGGATAGCTGGCTCAAAGACAAGTGCCAGAAGGCAGAGAGCTGGGGCTATAACAGAGAATCACCTTGCATTCTACTGAAACTAAACAAGGTAATTAAATATTATGTGCACTTGGAGATAATTATCGACATAAGGTTGTAGGAAGCTTTAAAAGGTATTTCTTTTTCAATAGTTTACATCCTTTAGATTAACAGTAGCATGTCTAAGTTAGCATATTGACCTTATCTTTTATCCTGCTTAGATTCTTGTAGTGTATTATCTCTAAACTTGTCAGTTTTCATTAAAGTAGGTGAAGTAATTAAGTAACACTAATTGACAATGTATTCATGGAATTGCCAAATATTTAGTATTTTCTCATAAGCTCTTTGTGGTTAGTTTGTTCGAGATGGTTACGCTTTGATGGTTATTACCAAAGATAAAAAATAAGTAATTTTACACTGATTAAATGTAACTAAAGTACTTTTGTCCTGTTAACTTTTTTCCAAACAAATGCCAGAGTTGAGCTTTGTGATGCTTATTATAAATGCCAGAGCATCAACTTTTACTTTTCAAAAGTCGCCAAACTGTCACTTATTACCATTCAGACTATATAATACTATTAAAGCCTTAGTGACTTATTTATTTTTTGAGGAATAATTATAAAGTTTATCAATTTAAAACCTTTAAACTGCAGTATAACTTGCTTATTAGCCGTGATGATACATTTCGTAATGGAAAGGAATATAGTAGAAATTCTTTGCAGATGATAAGGTGGGTACCAGAAGTTTACGAGACTTTGGAAGAGTTGCCACAGGACATGCCTGAATCCCTCAAGAAACATATTGAGAAGCGCATGACAGAAAACCAGGGTAGAATCCCCAAGGTACAGTAAAGCTGAAGGATAACCTAGTTCATGTAGATCGAGTTGTCAGTCTACATATTGAAATGTAACAATTACAAAAATTCCTGTTTTAGGGAAATCTCTCAACTCTGCACAATTTTGTGGTTGCTATTCAACAAAAGTAAATTAAAAAAAAAAAAAAAATTGCGCAGTCAAAATCTGTAATTATTTTAACATGGGAGTTTATGCGTTCAGAATGTAACTTTTGCCAATTTAATTTAAAAAAATTAAAAAAAAAAGATGAAAGATTGAATATCAGATTGGAGGGAGAGAGTATGGAGGAGGTGAACGTATTCAGATATTTGGGAGTGGACGTGTCAGCGGATGGGTCTATGAAAGATGAGGTGAATCATAGAATTGATGAGGGAAAAAGAGTGAGTGGTGCACTTAGGAGTCTGTGGAGACAAAGAACTTTGTCCTTGGAGGCAAAGAGGGGAATGTATGAGAGTATAGTTTTACCAACGCTCTTATATGGGTGTGAAGCGTGGGTGATGAATGTTGCAGCGAGGAGAAGGCTGGAGGCAGTGGAGATGTCATGTCTGAGGGCAATGTGTGGTGTGAATATAATGCAGAGAATTCGTAGTTTGGAAGTTAGGAGGAGGTGCGGGATTACCAAAACTGTTGTCCAGAGGGCTGAGGAAGGGTTGTTGAGGTGGTTCGGACATGTAGAGAGAATGGAGCGAAACAGAATGACTTCAAGAGTGTATCAGTCTGTAGTGGAAGGAAGGCGGGGTAGGGGTCGGCCTAGGAAGGGTTGGAGGGAGGGGGTAAAGGAGGTTTTGTGTGCGAGGGGCTTGGACTTCCAGCAGGCATGCGTGAGCGTGTTTGATAGGAGTGAATGGAGACAAATGGTTTTTAATACTTGACGTGCTGTTGGAGTGTGAGCAAAGTAACATTTATGAAGGGATTCAGGGAAACCGGCAGGCCGGACTTGAGTCCTGGAGATGGGAAGTACAGTGCCTGCACTCTGAAGGAGGGGTGTTAATGTTGCAGTTTAAAAACTGTAGTGTAAAGCACCCTTCTGGCAAGACAGTGATGGAGTGAATGATGGTGAAAGTTTTTCTTTTTCGGGCCACCCTGCCTTGGTGGGAATCGGCCGGTGTGATAATAAAAAAAAAATAAAAAAAAAAAAAAAAAAAAAAAAAAATGCATAATTTAGACAAAAGGAATAATTGTGCAAATAAATATTATACATTCAGTTTAATGCTGTACATTTGATAACAGCCAGTTTGTATTACTAACATTGAAGTAAGCAAAGTTCTTAATGCTTCTCAGAATTAATTTTTGTGAATATTTTACTGTGTTAAATATATTTTATCAGTGGTACTACTATTGAAGTTTAGTTTCCAACTTGTACTAATGCACTGTTTTTTAACCTGGCTACAGATGATATGGGTCTCATGTGAGGGAGAGAACCCTGCAGATCAAGAATACATTGGGCCTATTCGTTACTCTCCATGGCAAGGGTTCCCTGCCTACTACTTCCCATATATGCACACACCAGGCTACTTATCTCCCATTGTTGCAGTCCAGTTTGACTCTCCTGTTTGTAAGTATTCTAACAACTTGGTCAGTGTATGGGGAAGTTTTTTTTATATAATGAAATGTGTGGAGAGCATATGATAGTGTGAGCATATTAAATGTTATCCATTTTCATATAACTTATCAACTGTTAGTGGTTGTGTGTTAATGTTGCAGTTTAAAAACTGTAGGTAAAGCACCCTTCTGGCAAGACAGTGATGGAGTGAATGATGGTGAAAGTTTTTCTTTTTCGGGCCACCCTGCCTTGGTGGGAATCGGCCAGTGTGATAATAAAAAAAAAAAATCCTTATCATGAGTAGTATGTAATTAAAGTACATCTTCACTTATGACAAGGTTATGTTGAAACTGTTTTTGAGATTAATGAAGTATTGTTTGTTTTGCAGCTAATGTTCTCATAAATATCGAGTGCCGTGCTTGGGCCAAGAACATTAAGCACGATCGACAGAATCGTCTTGGTCTAGTCCACTTTGAGCTGCTGAAGGACTAATAACTTCAAAGGTTGCATCAGCAGGGGGTTGGATATAAAATACCCACACAAGGAACATTATTTTTTTTAAACATCCATCATTCATTTTAATTAAATTATATCTGTTCTATAAGGAAAATGGTTGTAAATGTAAATTTTTATTGTGAAGTTGTAAGATAGTCTATTATACTGTCCTTTTACTTGAGAGGTGATACTGGTATTGGGTCAGTACTGCCATACTAATTGCCTTCCTGTGGTTGTAAAAGGAATGATGCATTCAAAGTTTATGAAATTGTTAATGGTTAGTCGGATTTTGTGTATATGTGATTTATCCTGGAGTTGTGCAGTATGTAGACAAACCTAGTAGTCCTGTTGATATTCCTGTATTAGTTAATGTAAATAGTCTTGTATACAGAGGATAAAATTGTTTCTTGCAATCTACTTACCACCTGCTGTCCAACATTATAGGGTGATGGGTATGCATAATCACTTGGCATTTTCATAAGCCCAAATGTATTTATGGCACATGACTGCTGTTCAATTTTTTTTTTCTTAGTGAGAGCATACATCATAACTTATCAATGTTGTTTGGCAGGATTGATTCTAAATTGGATCATAAAAAGGAAATTTCTGTATCTCTGTTATTGAACAGTAAAGATCTTTAACACCTCCAGTTTAGCTGCTTAATAACCTTGTGTATGTTTAAACTAAAGTTCATCAACAGATACAAATAAAGATGTCATGGCTCTGAAAAGTTTACCATGAAATTTAAAACTTTGTAAAAAATATTAGTTAAAAATACGTTTAGAGATGGGAAGTGTTGTTACGTTTACTCTTGCCCTCAATCTTAGTTTTTATGCACTAAATGCTTTGAAAATGTCATTTAAAAGTGAAAACTAAAGTGTACAGAAGTATTAAAGTGCCTTTTCTCCAGGATGTTACTAGCATGACTGCAAATGTTTGAATTTTACACTGGATTGGTAAAAAGTAAAATACCAACTTAATACAGTTTTGTGGAATCATGAAGGACAACTACTGTAGTTTAAAATGGCTCTTGACCCATTTTTTTCTGTAGCATGCATAGAATTTGGCTAACAAACTTTACTGCCTTTAGGTTGTGCACCATCACTTACACCTTCCACAGGTGACATGGCCAGATTGCTATACTCTTCTATCTTGTTTCTGAGCTCTTGGGTCAAGTTCAGTGCTTTATGACCCTGACTCCTCTTCAAGGGAGGGGGGGCTCCTTGGCGTGGTGAAGAGGCTCTTGGTCTGAGGAATTACACCTGTCTGTCTCCTTCCTCAGACCGAACCTAATTACCCCCCAATCCCCCCTTCCCTATCCCATCCTTCCCTTTTCCCTTTCCTCCTCCTCCCTCCTCCCCCCCCTCCCCACCCCTCACTTTTGCCCTTCCTCTTTTTGGCCTTTGGGATTTTTTTCCCCCAGGCGCGCTAGTTCCTAGGTAGGGGAAAGGGTACCAAGGTCCATCCCATTCCGTTGAGGTTCTTGGCGGTGGCGTAGTTTGTCATGGAATCTGGATCGCCTGGGGATGTCCCAATCCCTCTCCGGTATCCCGGAGAGTGGCTTTGGGTGTCTTTCAGGCGACGGGTGTATCTCTGGAAGCCATCTTTCGGATTCCGGGGTGGTGGCCGAAGGAGGTATGCTTTGTGGCGGATATCTGGCCGCCCTCTCCTTTGTCCACCGAGGTAGCTTGGCAGAAGTGAGGTTGCTATCCCGGATTGCTGGTTTACTGGCATGAAGGGTAGGGTATGGGACGGGTTCCATGCTGCATCTGCGCTACTTGCAGTGCTGAGGTCCTCTTGGGCGCGGAGGGAGATTTCCGGCCCTTTCATTCCTCCTGGGAACTATTCCTCCTCGCTCCCCCCTTTTTTCATTCTTTTCTTTTTTTTTTCTTAAACAAAAAGCAAAGGAGTAACCTAACCATGGAGAAACCAATCCATGAACCCACTACCCCCGGGCCCCTTGATACCGCACCCCATTCTGACCCTGCCTTGTGTTTTTATCACTCTTCGGACACTCCTCATGCCCCTGTACCTCTTGCTGGTGCTGTTTCCTCACCCGCTTCAGGTACCAGGGCTTCGACTGACTCCTTCGATTTGTCTGACCTCCGCTCTCCTTTGACTGTGCTTCCGGCCTCTCCCTCTACGGTACGGCAATTTTCGAATTGTCAGCCCGTTTCACGACGGACCAACTCCGGTCCTACTCCTAAACGCCAACGACAATCTCCTGATGTTCCTTCGTTACCTTCACATTCTACTCGGAAAAGACCGACACGTCATGCACTCCCTCTCCACGCTCAGTTTCGGACACACAATGGACTAAATTCTTTACTTTATGACCGACTTCTTCTGCCTATCTTTCTGACTATAGTACCGTATTGGCAAAGCGCTCCTGCGCCATGTTGGTAGAGATATTTCATTTCATGCTCTCAAGAGCAGTACGCGCATCGTCACTGTCCAGAATGCTACCCAAGCTCATGATCTTTCTCTCCTTTCGCATATCGATACTACTACTATCACTATTGAAAAACATCTTTCTCTCAATTCTTGTAGTGGTACTGCCATTCTGCCCCATACCATAGTCCAACAGAATTTCCAGTCATGTGGCAATGACATTCTTGAACAGCTGGAACTCCAGGATCTCCCAATCCTCAAAGTAGACACTTATGTCCTTCCTGCCTGAGGGCGGAGACGTTACCCTTGCAATGTGGCTCGATTAACTTTCGACAGCCGTGAACTCCCATCCTCTGTTTATGTCGCGGGACATCGGTTACAAGTTTGAAAGGTGATCCCTACACCACAACAGTGTAGAAATTGCTGGCGTTTTGGTCACCCAGCGAAATATTGCAGATCTAAAGCCGAATGCCCAGTCTGTGGTGCAGACGACCATTCTAAGACGACCATTCTAATGAGGCTCACCCTTCATACTCTCGCCGTTGCCAGGTCTACTTAAATGAGCATGAAATCCGTTGCCTCAAAGAGGCAGAAGGTCTCCCTTATGCTATGGCAGTTACTCATCTCCGCCTCCAAGGGAGACTACCCTGTGTTTCTCGTGTTTCAAAACGTCCCCCCACTTCTGGGGTCCCATCTTCTGCAGCCTCCTCTGTTGTTACCCCTCCCATAGCCACTCCGGCATCTAATCCTTTTGCTGTCCTTGGCTCTGACGTCCCGACTACAACTCGGTCTGTTCTCACATCATCGCGTCCTTCCTCACAAACCCCAGTATCGACAAGACCTCGTACGACACCTTATACCAATCGCCCCTCTACTTCTCAGAAGTCCAAAAAATCCCCATTGCTCAAATCTTCTTTGCCCCTTCCTTCCCTTCTTCCACCTCTGCACTTTACCTTTCCAGTCTCTGTGCCTAGTTCTTCCCTTCTCTCTGGCAAGTGTGGAGGTTCACCCTCCTCCTCGTACTATGCCTTCCACCCCCGTCCCCTCCCAAGTTTCTCCCTCTTCTGCCACCTCCCAGGTTTCTGCCTCTTCTGTCCCCTCCCACACTTCTTCTCCAGTCCCCTACACTCTTTCGTCCCCTTCTACTTTGGTACAGTCCATTACTGTCCCAATCTTTACTCACCCTCCTCCTACCTCCAATATTGTCTTCCATACATCTTTGAATTCAGAAACACTTGAAGCCATTTCAGAATATATTGCAGAGACTAAACCTTCAATGGACACTGATCCACCTCCTGTTCCTTCTCTTCCCTCTCCACAACTCCGTTCTTTGCAACACTCCGTTCGCTGCTTGAACGTCTTCCAATGCCACCACACTTTGACTTTTTTAACCCCTCTAGTCTGTAGGTGCCCTTCCCTACGGATTCCTGGTATTTTCGTCATTGCCAATCATGGCCTATTTACAGTGGAATATCCACGGCCTCAGGGGTAATCGGGGTGAGCTTCAGATGTTGCTTTCCAGGTTTTCCCCTGTTGGTGTTGGTGAGGGGCTCTTGATTTAGGGAATTGGATCTGTGCTCCAGTTCCCCGAATTAAGCCTGAATGCCTTCCACATCCCCCCCCCCAGGCGCTGTATAATCCTCCGGGTTTAGCGCTTCCCCTTTGATTATAATAATAATAATTCCCCTGTTGGTGCTTGCTTACAAGAACCAAAATTACACTCGGCTGTTTTCCAACCTATCTCAGGCTATAATTTATTGTATTCTTTGGATCCTTTCTCAGATGGGACCTTTAATGAAAGTGCCCTTCTTCTACGCAACGATATTCCGTACTGTCAACTATTTGTCCATACCTCGCTGCATTACACTGCAGCCCGTATCCACTTGAATAAGTGGTTTACAATATGTTCTTTGTATCTCTCTCCTCCTCGAGCATTTTCCATCCCAGATTTTGCCTTTCTCGTTTCATCCTTACCACCACCACTTCTGTTACTTGATTTTAACACCCACCATTTCCTCTGGGGGGGGGGGGGTCTCATTGTGACTCACGTGGCATCCAGTTGGAGGCTTTTCTCGCCTCTTACCCCCTCCATGTTTTAAATACAGGTACTCCCACCCATTTTGATCCTCGTACTCATACTCTCTCTTGCATCGATCTATCAGTCTGCTCTTCCTCCACTGCACTAGACTTCACCTGGTCTGTTCTACCGGACTTACATGACAGCGATCATTTTCCAATCATTCTTACTTCTGCACATTCACCACCTTTCCATAGCCCTCGCTGGCAATTTGATCGGGCAAATTGGGACCTTTACTCGCAACTCACTGCTTTTAGTGAGGTTCCTTCTTCATCCTCCATTGATGAGCTCCTACACCTCTTCTCGACGTCAGTTTATACCGCAGCTTCTCATTCTATACCCCAAACCTCAGGTAGGCATTCTCAGAAGTGCGTGCCTTGGTGGTCTCCTGCTTGTGCTCATGCAGTACGTTTGAACAGCGCTGCATGGGGCAGGTACTGGTACAATAGAACTGATGAGAGACTTCTTGATTTTAAGCAGAAGCATGCGATCACTTGCCGTGTCATCCGTGACCCTAAACGCACTTGCTGGCGAGACTATGTTTCCACCATCATCTCTGCTTCCTATATGAGTGCAGTCTGGAAAAAAAGTGAGGAAATTGAGTGGTAAATACTCTCCTGACCCAGCTCCTGTTCTATGAGTCGCCAGTATTGACGTAGCAAACCCTCTTGATGTTGCCATTGAAATTGGCACTCATCTGGTCCGTATTTCCCGGAGGCTCCATCTATGCTCCTCGTTTCTTTCCTCAAAGTCTGCCAGAGAGTTAGTACCCTTGGACTTTTCTTCTCTCAGAAGAACAGTATAATGTGCCTTTTACACTTCAGGAACTAAAGGCAACGCTCTCAGCTTGCCGATCATCGGCAGCTGGGCCTGACGACATTCATATTCGTATGTTACAACATTTACATCAGTCAGCCCTTGTAGTCCTCTTACACCTCTTCAATCTTATTTGGACACAAGGAGTTCTTCCCCAGCTGTGGAAATCTGCCATTGTTCTCCCTTTCCGCAAGCCGGGTACTATGGGACATGATGCCTCCCACTATCGTCCCATCGCTCTTACTAGTGCAGTTTGCAAAGTGATGGAACGTCTGGTAAATCGACATTTAATGTGGTATTTAGAGACACACAACAGTCTTTCCACTAGTCAATATGGCTTTCATAAGGGCCGTTCTACCATAGAC